TTTCATGATCAGAAAGGCTGAGATTAAAGTCATGGCTTTTCCATATGAATACAAGAATTTGTTTTATCGCTTGAATAAATGAATATATTTGGTTTCTTTCATTTGATTTTTCTCATTGATGTTAACGTACTTTAATTGCAAAAACTCATTATCATTGTATTTCCCCTGGTTTCCCAGAATCAGGCCGGTTTTACCATGGTTTTCCGGACCCAATTCTGGTATGAAAGCCTCACTTTTATATCATCCCTCCCCTGACTGTATTCTCTTTGCAAAAGACGCACCATGGGCGGAATTTATGCCGTATTGGGTCTCTGACCAGCATGTTCTCAGCTTGCTGGGAACACATATTGGCATAAATATAGGCTCCGTAATAAATAAATAAATAAATACGTGAATATTTATTATGCATTTATTTCTTCATAAATTATAATTATATCGATTAGTGTGCCAAATGGACATCAGCAAAGGTCACGTTAGTTCACACATTCAATACACTTGAAAAATAGATGATCGATTGATTTTTCATTTTTTTTCCGCATCGTACGAAACTTTGTTTCAACCTTCGTTCGCATCGTTTTTTTTCTATTCTCTTACATATGCAAACACCAAAGTATGGACGCTTTGGAATGAATGTCTGTAATGTATTCAACATTTGAGTAAACGACGTTCAACGTCTACAGACTTTCGCCAACATTTAGTACAAACCTAGGTATAAACACTCGGTCCAGTCTTAAAATATATTTTAATAAATGTAGAGAAAGGTGTTTTGTGAAAGAGTAGCATGTTATGTTCAGGACACTTTTTCAACTGTCCATTTTCGAGAAAAAAAACGTTTAAGATTTTGAGATTTGTCTGAACTTGACATAGAATGAGCCGGCGTTGTTAACCATCTGTATCGAAAAAAACACATTCATTTTAATAAATTTTCATGAACAAATTCATTTGACTAAAAAATAAATTAAAATAATCGCTTACCCGAATGAATTTTTGCAAATTGCATCCGATCAAATTGAAGCCATTGAAAGAAATCTCGTGTTGCGAATGCTAAATAATCAAAGGGACATACCTAGAAAGAAAATAACAAAAGAAACAATGAAAATAACGGTGGGAATTAGCATCGTATGCAATGTATGCATTGAGACGCTGGAAATTTTTTCGACGCGCAACCTTTAGCAAAAGTTTCCGCGCCAAAGAACTACTGTGACAGCATACATTCTGTTTGGCAAATGTATTCTGTCATTACATCGCAGATTCGACGAAACGAGTGAGAATGACAGAGGCGGCATAGATGGTGCGTCGAAAAAATTTCCAGCCGATTTTGCTGTTATTAATGCCCACCGGAAAATAATGGTTATCAATGACAAAGTGATGGAAAATGAAAAACGACATACATCATGAACGGCTTTGGAAAATTGTACCATTCTTCATGGTAAAAGGTTTCACCGGTGGAAAATCCAGCTGTCGACACCAATGTGGCGCCGTATCAGAGTCCAAATGGCCATGCCAGGGATACAATGATGCACAAAAGGTCATATAAGATCATTAAATCAATGTTGCTAATGGTCTGTGGGCCAGTTCAAGTTATAGGAAAATAAAAAAGAATCGCAATTGTGTTAATGTAAAAATAAGTGCTTTGAAGTGAAATATTTGAAGTAAATCGAAAAACAAAGTAACTCACGCTAGGGGCGAGACACAAATTCTAGTAGAGTCTATTTACATTCAATTTTATATATTTTTGCTTTATGTCCTCTAACTTTTCTAATGTCCGAAATTTAAGTTTCGTGTCTTCCCCCTAGCTCATTGGTCATTTTTCCCCATCATATCGTGCGTAAAAGTATTTTTTGATGAGTTAATTTGTTTTTCAAACGACTTCAACAATTGAAACATTTTCATGGAAAATCCATTACATTTTCCAGTTGAAACAGAGCCGATGCGAAGAAGACGATATTACAAGGAAGCATCGAAAATATCACGCCACTGCAAACATCTCCAAATGTATCCAAGATTCTGAAATAAGACAAAATTCAATTCATCATTCAGAATCTTCGACTCAATTAAACTTGTAGTTTCCAATCGAATCGTTTTATCTAGCCCACAAACTCTATCGATCCAAAAAAAAGTGACTCACTCATGATGTGTCAAAATTTTCAATCCACATACAGTAGCATGCAAAAATTGCTGATGCGATGAATAATCCAGCCGCATCAAGTAGATAGTCAATGGATACAAACTTGGTCAATTTTTGGCATTTATCTTCGGTTTCCTCATAAAAATGCATTTCATTACGTTCAACTTCTGTTTGATGAAAATATGAATAAAAATGGATCTAAACAGGTCATGCATCAACCCAATGACAATATAATTTTTTCAAATAAAATCGATTTTCTCTCTATTTATTTTAAATATTGAATGCATTACCCTTATCAACGAATTCTTGAATTCGAAGCTGCAATTTCTTAACTTTCTTCATTTTCTGCCCGATGCTAATGTACGAACCGGCACATTGTAAGCTTGCACACACCACTAAAATTGCTCTCAAAGCCAACGTCAAGTGATACATGTGCTGATACACATAAATGGAAGTGCCGGTAAACATTACCGTTACCAACCCAACCAGCATCACATAGCTGTTGGGCGATTTCCAAAACTCATTGGTAGCTTCTGTTAAACAATTTGAACTGATGCCGAGTAACTTCAAGTTGAATTGATTATACTCAAATACATTCATTTTTAATCACAACACTCTTTGGTTTTCTGCTTTGAAAATACTTTTCAAGTGAACGTTTTCGGAGTGACTTGAAATAAGCTTATTTTGAACGGATCTGTGAACGGAATGAACTGAAACAGAGCAAATGCTTTTCAAACCAATGCTGAAACACTTCTGAATGAATTCGCTTCTTGGAACTCAATAAATAGACCCCTGTTCTCCAAAATGATACCAAAAAGTTTATTTAAAACAATGCATCCCATGTAATTAATTGGAAAAAGTTTGTGTTTTTCATATATATATGAGTTATATGTATATAGAGTTTGAGTTTACGTGTTCAATCCTGTAAATGTCGACATTTTTAATTACAATGGGTTTCAATAGTTGAAGTTGACTCAACAACTTAGTTGAGCATTTCACGATTTCATTCACTTCAAATGACACGAATTTTCAACCTCGATTAGACCAGAAATGCTCAAATGACTCATCACACAAATACGATGTTGCAAAAGAAATGGGTAAACGGGAAAATGAACAGGAATCTCCTGATTCTCACACACAGTGTTTGTCTATTGCATTCACACGGAAATGGACAGAGAAGTATATACAACACATGAGACACGAATTGCAGCTATGTGTGTGCTCGCGCGTCGCTTACGATGTGTCTCTGTGTTGTGTATGCTTCTCTCTCTCTCTGTTTCCGTGTGAATGCAAGAGACAAACACGAACGCGCGTCACAGTGTATATGCACGCAACCAACAGCTGCTGTTAAACCGATCTGTTCACCAGCAGCGCTGCATAGCCAGCAACTTCAATAGTCTCTATAAAAGAATTGTAATTTTTGAGGAAAAAAAAGGAAAATTTATTGAAGTTTTATTGAAAATCCCTTTCATTTATCTAGTGATCAGAGCGAAACATCTAATTTAAGATCTTTATTCAATGATAACGTTTTTTTAATCCAAAATATTTGTGTTTTTTTCCTTACAATTTAGAAAAAAATTTGAATCAAAAATTTCTTTCATTTTCGTTTTTCAAGAGAAAAGAAAAGTTACGGCTTTGAATTCCAACACCTTGGAAATTTGCTCAAGTTTGAAGGAAATGCAATGGTAAATGCTGTGTGAAAGTGTTCTTATTGAAAGGCTAACGCAAGAGGTTGACAAGTGAATGTCACTTCCAAAATGTTGTGAAAATTGTTGATATATTGAATGAAAAATTCCACTTTAAAATGAGAAAACGTCAGCCAGTTTGCGTCGTTGTTCTTCCTTCCACTTCTGAATTTCAATGCATAAAAATATGCATAATTTGATACTTTTATGTTAAAAAAACTGCTATTCGTTTTGAAAAATAATGGGAGTCTGTGAACAATAAAATATCCATTTGCTTATACTTTGGTCACAAATTGACTTTTTCATTGAAAAATTCACTCAAAATGAAGATTTTACATATAAAACTTTGAATTGAGTAGAGAAGTTGGTATATTTGGGTTTATTTCTTCAAAAAATAAAAGCCATTGATGTTGGAACGCAGAATAAAGCATTTTTGAAGCAGAAAAAGTGATTTTCTGTATAAAATATGGCGAGTTGAAAACATAAGCTGGAACAGGGCCATTTTTCGGCATTTTAGGCTCATCAAACAGGATTGAAATAAGTCTACATCGATTTCTCGTCCAAAATTAGGTAGAAATAGACTCCTACCAGGCCACCATAGGTGAGTTTTCTATGCCATAAGTGTGATTTTGTATGCGGATTTTGACCATTCGCATGTTTTATGGAGAAATGTCGATTTCAAACCAAATTTATAGATAAACTGATGTTAAAATGTTCATATTTTCATGTATTTTGACGAGGAAATAGCAGTTTTCTCAGTCAAAAAACATTGTAGCAGATCATTTTCGACCATTTTTTCCACAAAAACGCTGATAAATAAGATATGATCTACTTTCCGAGGCCAAATACAAAAAATTGAATGGTTGTTACACGGAATTTTAATTTCTTATCTGAAGCGGCGCGACATGGGCTATCTTTTGACGCGAAAAAACATGCCAAAAAATCGCCACTCTTTTGAGATATTTCACATTTTATACTTTGAACCCATTTTTGGAGGCCCCTTTGAACCCATTTTGCCAAATAGAGTTTCAGGCACATTTCCGACTACATTAAATGCAAAATTTCTCTCGGAAACTCCTCTTACTAGCAGAAATATAGACTGAATGCGTCCGCCTAAATGCAGACTTCTATTTTTGACAATGAGGGAATTTGGAGTCTACGAAAAATAAAAAGAGATATGATTTATCGTTTTCGATATTTTTTCTATTTTTTATTGCAATCTTGAGATTGTTTTGTGTTGAAATACCTATGTTTTACTGCAATGAAAGAAAAAACGGGAACAAAATTCATTAGGTCTAACGAAAAAAGTGACGAGATTCAACCACTAAATTTCAAGACACTACTTACTCTTGCTTTCTCGGAAAATAAAGCCGGTTTGAATAAAACAGGTGGGCCAAAATTATTTGGTGGATTTAGTTTAATTGGAGGTACAGGCACCCAACCGTTGTCCATTAGCTGGTTTTACTCCACGCGGTTGTGATGAACCAAATTTACTTCGTTGTACTGGTCCATCTCTTACTGAACCGCTATTTAAAGTCGAAATAAAATAATTAACTCATGTTTTTCTCGCAGCTCTCTCATATTTTGTTATACTCACATGAGCGAGGGGCAAATCACTCTAAAGTAATTTGTAATAGAGAAAGTAATCGAGAAAGTAATTTACGTGTAAAAATCTCAATTACTTTTCAATTTTTTTTAAAAGTAATCGAGATTTTTACACGTAAATTACTTTCTCGATTACTTTCTCTATAACAAATTACTTTCGAGTGATTTGCCCCTCGCACATGAGTGGTTGTTGCGAATCTCTATACAAAAAAAAATATTAACAATTTCGATAAATATTCACTTTGGTTTGGGAAAATATTTTAGCTTTGAATTCACTTACTCGTCGCTGAGAGTATCGATGCTGCAGCAATTTAATGCCTAAATGATATTCAAAAAGAATTTTTCATCGGATTATTTCCGAAAATTTGTTAAATTTTAGTAAATCTACTACTTTAGCCAAGTCTCACATTCCGTATATATTTAAAAGATTTTTTTTAACATAAATTTTTAAGTGTGCCTTGGAAATAGTATTTCAATTCATTTTCTACCTTTTTCTACTAAATATTGAACGTTTCCCTTGTTCATCAGAAATTCGATTGAACTTCAAAGAACCTTCCCGATTTTAAAAGTTTTTCTACACACCGTCTCCACTTGCATTTAGTTTCCATTACATTAGATACACTTTGACCGTTGAAATCCAATGGAAATGGAGAATAGTTGAAAGCTGCCGCTTATTCTTTATTTCTTCGACAAGTGTTAAATATATTTTGTACGAAAGTGAATTGAAATAGTGGAATTAAGGTGACCAAATTTATTCAAAAATGATACTCACAAGACAAACGATCAAAAGAATTGTAATAGTTTTCATCTTGAACTTGTAATTCCGTATGAAATGACACGGGTGGAATAAGCCATTCTTATAGGACTTGAAAAACAAAATTTCGGTTCGACACATGCCAATCATATTCGTTGAAAACGAAGACATTTGAATAAATATTCTTCGATAGAAGCATTTTCCGCATTCCATTTGCTGACAAATTTTTGCACAGTAAATAAAATAAATGGGAACCTAGCTTAGAAACAACTGTTCTGTACCGTTATGAACGGTTTCGAAACGTACATTTTCAAGGGATTATTTATTTATTCGTACGGCAAATGCTATAATTATCGGCTGGCTTAAAAAAAAATTCTATTTGCTCAAGTAAACCATACTTGGTTCATAGTAAAGTTCGTCATATAAATTGTTAGTTATAAAATAATAAAATTATGCAAATTGTTACTTCGGCAAAAACTTGCACAGAGAAAACTGTGTTGATTTTTACGTAGCAAAATGTTTGAAACTGCCAAATTCCAACACATAAATTGAGTTTTTCGCAACAAATGTTTTTTCCATATTAACCCTCAACTGCATGAATTTTTCCTAGGACTGGGAGTACTGGTATTTGGTTGATTTTTGGCCATAGATAACGAAAAAAATATTCATAATCCTAGATTTCCCATGGTTTAGTCAGGAAATGCGATAGAAATAAGTCAGAGAACAATGAAATCCATTGTTTAAAAGTGTCAAAAATATGTCTAATTTGGAAACCGAATAATTTTTTTTGTCAAATTTTCGTTTTCGTGCACATTTTTGTTTATAACTCACCAATCGTACGACATAGACAAATGACGCCAAAGACAAGAATAAAGAAAAAACATTGACAAATAAAAATTCCCTTTGAAGCAATGTCATCCGCCGTACGATTCACATTATACAGGTGTTTAAATGATGCCCGCCAAAAGGCGGGCTTATGCAGTTGAGGGTTAACTCAAGTATTTGTCAAATTAGACACCAGCTCCCTTACATCGTGTCTAATAAAAATTGACACCTAATTTTTTTACGTAAAAATCAACACAGTTTTCTCTGTGTGTGGAAAGCTTGATATTCATTTCAATTAAGATCATTCAACATAACTTACGTACAATTTTAGCATAGTATTCCAATTTCAAAGTGTTTCATATTTCATCGTTGTTACCTTTTTTTTCATTTTCGAGACCGTAACAATCATTAAGAGGATGTTGAATATGGTATTCAAAAGACTTTGAACATTCAACCAAATTTGCAATTCCAATGGAACAAGTTGTTGATGCATTCGATGACACATAAAAGAAGAATGAGAAAATCGAATGAATGAAACGTTTCAACGGTTTTAGGTGTGTAACAGGAATGAAATCTACTGTCCACAATGGTTTGTTCAGAGAAAAATGTGTCGTGGACAAAGGTAATCTGATAGAACGATCATAAAATTCAATTCATTGATCCAATTGTCATCGTTTACTTGTGCAGCTGGGTTTTTTCTGTCGTGGAAAAGAATTTAAGATTTTTAGAAAGAAAAAAGTGATTTTTCACACGAATTTCACGACTTGCGTATATGTAAGTATTTAATACATGGAAAATCAGTTTTTAACTGATAAAGTTTGAGATAAACACATGCAACTTTCACTTTAAAAATTCTTGAAAACGAATTGTTTTCTAATGTAAAAGAAAAGCAACATTTAAAGCAATGAAAAGCCGTAGCTCACTTGGGTTTGCTTGAAACTTTACATGGAACTTAAGTTCGGTGAATTTCGATATCAAATCGAAAGCTTACCCTCTAATCAGTATTCAAGCCCAGGGAACGGCCAGGTCAATTCTGTAACAAAATGAAATAATTTACTTGTATTCTATTCGCAGATCTCTCAAATTTCGTTATACTTACAGGTCCAAGGTTGCCATTTGCGGAGTTTTATTACTTTAAGAAGAATATTAAAAATGAGATGATTTAATAATTTGGGAAAAATGTTTTAGCTTCGAATTACTTACGCTAATTTAACAGTTGATTGAGAAACGGTATGACTACAGGAACATTGAAAATTAGTCAAATAATTATACTGGGAAAATCAGGGTAATATATTCGATTTAAATAACTTACTCCACTTTATTGCCGTGACCCTTGCCAATCATTTCCTGAACGATATTTAAAAAAGAATTTATCATCGAATATTTCTCGACAATTTGTTGCATAAAGCTACTATAATTGCTGACCCGTGTGCAAATATTGTAACTGAGCAGTCAGTTAACTAATTTCGAACAAAAATGACTTACTTTGATTGACATTTCAGTACATAGTGTAGTGTAAGTCTATCATAGTTGACTGAAATTATTTGAAGTTACAAGTCAATCTAAGTTGCTTAATTTGGGACCAAGTGATTTTCTTAGAACAAAAACATAAATTCAATCAACTAAAGTCAACTGAAGCTATAGTCAGTCAGTCATTTATTTTTTCACACGGGGAGACTCACATTTCGTATATATTTGAATGGGTTTTTTTCTCTCACAAGAATATACTTTTAAGTGTGTGCAATCGCGTGCCTCAATAGAATTTCTAGACTGGTGCAAATTGCAGCAAGTTTTTAAAATAATGGCTCCCAACACCTAGAAATTTTTTTTAGGTCTAAAAAAGTGTGCCTGAAAATTTTCAGCTCAATAACATAAGATTGGATGTTAGCGCAAAATTCATGTAGACCTATTTTTTGGATGGATTTATGTTTTTATGCAAATTCACTACTTTTCATCATTTTTCTCCAAAATTATGAGAGATATCGACTTGATGTCTCGAACAATATTGTAGATGAAGTCAAAGTGCACAACTTTGCTGGAGTTAGTAAGTCGATTCCTCCACTTTTTGTAGGCGGTAACTCAAATTCTAAATTGAATGGTTTGGAGCGAAAATTTAATACAGAAAAGTTGAGCGGAAAAATGTCAAATGAAAAGGGATAGCTATAGCATGTCCGAAATTCTATCAAACCTGAATGATGAATGGTCAATTCAAAGAACCAACGCCATCCTTTGGAAAGAAAATTGAAACGCTCGATCGATTTTTTTTAAATTTAATGAATTTTATTGAATTGATTTTTTAAAAAGATGAACAAATGGAAATCTGAAATTTTGAACAAAAATTTCGTAATTTTCTTACAAAGAAAATATATTTCGATTCAAGCATTTTATGCCATTGATGAACGATCGCGATCGTGATGTAAAATTTTGAAGTTTTGTCGCCTTTCTTACTCTTTTATCGGATCTTAATCTCCTCTCGGCTTTGGGTTTTGCAAGGCATTCCTATGAAATTGAACAAATATTCAAATTATTGTTGTTATCGATCACTTCGAAAATGTTATCAATTCAAGTGGATTATAATTAATGTACACAAACAAGGCGTCACGAGCCTCGTGAGCTTTTAGCATAGTATTTGAGCATAGTTTTTATCAGCCAACCAAACGCGATAGATGGTCAGCTACGGCTGACGCTCGTTATCCAGATAATTTGCGTGCGGTGAACGCATATAGAACGCTCCGCTGACATTCCGTTTTTGTGACGAGCGATCCATCCAAATTCATGATAGAATCCATGAATTTATTTGGATACCACGTCACGAGGTCAGAAAAATTATGGATTATATCATGAATTTGGATGGATCGCACGTCACAAAAACGGAATGTCTGTGCCGGTATTCTGGAACACAATCCGCAAAAATAATGCGGAATTATTCCGAGCGATCAATTGTATTTTGGAAGGTGGTATCCAAACGTTATATATGGATTTGTCTCTTTTTCATTGATTGAACGTTTGGTTTCCACCTTTCAAAGTACAATTGATCGCTCGGCGGCAGCGAAGCGTTCTATATGCGTTCACCGCACGCAAATTATCTGGATAACGAACGTCAGCCGTAGCTGATCATCTATCTCGTTTGGTTGGCTGGTTTTTATGGATAAAATTGTTTGTCTCTCTTCAATACTAACTTAATTTATGTCCCTGAAATTTACAATAAAATTCGATTTTCGTTTGGCTTACCAAATTTTCGCACAAAGTGGACCGCAGAAAGCAAGCTCCTTGTCGCATCCTTTGCACCGTAACCGTTCACTCAGCTTTCGATCGGATTCTTTTCGCATTTTTTCGATTATTTCGAGGTATTTTTGATTGCATTGCTTCTCGCTATTGGCATTTTCTTCATAAATGCCTTCAATGCTGCGCTCCATTTCAACCAATTGTTTCTTCAGCTCCTTAATCTCGTTATTCTTCACTCGAATTTCGTCACTCATCACTTGAATCTCCAATTTTGCTTGGTCGTGCGATTCCTTGAGCAAAGCAACTTCTTTCAGATGACCGTTTCTGATTTGATCACATTCAGACAAAGCCTCTTTCGAACGTTCCAAACGCGCTTGAAGAGCAGCTACTTCCTTGGCATGTGCATCTTTGGTCCTCATCAAAAGGCCATTCAATGCTTTTGATCTCAGTTGGCTCATGCGAATCGAGTTCAACAAGTCTCCTTGAATGCCCTTCATGTTCTGTATAAGTGTGTTATGAGCCCTCTGTTCCAAAGCTGACAAGTCCTCAATATCAACGTATTCGTCTCCCGATTCGACGCGTTGCTGATTTTGTGGCGTTTCAACGTTCTGGGAATTTTCCAAGGTGTCAATGTATTGAGCATTTTCATCAGCTTCAGCAATGTGTGCAGCTTCGGCATTCTGTGAATAATCCAATGGTTCCTCGGGGATATTGGATATTTCTGCTTGATTGGATTCAGGTAACGCCATCGATTCTGAAGAAATGTCTTCCGTTTCAGTTTGCTCGATTTCTGTTTCTTCGGTCTTTTCTGTTTCCTCTGTTCCATTGGCTAAAACACCGATCTCTTCTGCCTCGAGTTCATATTCCGCTGGCTCGAAGACTTGCACTTGACAAAGATCATCACCGTATTCATCGCAGAATCGAACTCTCTTCGACGATGGCTCGTCATTCACCTCGTTGGACACATGGTTTCGCTTTGAGCTGTTGCTCTCTCTCAAAACATTGGACAGTTCTTTACGTATAATGGACTGGTGTGACGATTCGTTGGATTGTCCTACACCCACATCCTTCTCGCCTGTATCCACCGTAATACTATTACCTTTTACATCCACGCCGTTTGTCTCTTTAGTAGTCTCCCTTTCCACTTCCACAATCTGCGATTCCTTGTCGTGATGCCCATTGATTCCTGGAATCATTTGCTCGATGTGCTGCTTCAATGCTTTTGGAACGAACGGAGTTTTTGCTTGAGCATATTGGAACGTGCCGTACTTTTTGCGAATGTTCTCGATGTACGATCTTGCTTTCTATAAAAATTGAACAATTGGATAACGTTTTCTCATATTAAAAAAATCAAATCTGACATGGAAACACATTCGTAAAACCACAAAAAAATGCTATTAAATTCAAAATATATATAAATACTGAAAGAAGTCAATTCCTTACATTTAACGCATCGTGGTATGAAGACAATTTGTATTGTTTGGCTTTCGGATTTATCTCCGAGTACAGATAGCACTTGTTTGCGGAGATGTTGGCATGCGTGTAGTCGTCAAAGAATCGAACCGTAACCATTTTCTCAGAAACAGACATAACCTTTGCGGGCAAATAAATGGAACCCTTAACCTTAGCCCACACAAGAATATGTGGTTTAGAGCACACCATCGAAAACCAACAGTTTGGATGTTTGGTCACATGCGTATAGCATTCAGTACACTGTTTGATTAAAGCCATTTCTTCAGCGATGAGTTTCAGCAGATTTTTGGCTGCGGCTGCCTTTGCATGAATTTCTGAAATCGAATTGAAGAAAATTGTGTAGAGAAATTTGAATTGAACTCATTACGCAATTAATTTGTTTCAAGAGTTATTTGAATTCAAAAAAAATAATAATCTGGCACACTCGCTCTTATTCGGTACAGCTCATATCAAAAGATATGTTCTCAACGAAACTCAAGACTTGAACAAAGAGATGTAATGAATCCACCTTACCTGGATATAAAATAACGCAGTTGTGCACCATCCACTGAACATAGGTGTACAGTTCGTATAAGCTGCTGTAAGAGTGGGCCTTCGCTTTGATTTTCGTCAAATCGATCGGATTGACGATGGAATCAGACTTTTTCAAACGATTAAGCAACGTGAACTAAATGATTTTTTAGATTATTTTAAAGAAAGAAAATATTCAATTTCATTTTGATTTTTGGTAAAATTACATGTTGATGACGACGCAAATTGATTTTGATGTAAATGTCAGCAAAAAACAAATTCACAAATTACGTACCTTTTTTACATTCCAAACTCGGTTTATCAGTATTGGCAATGTCTCTCGTTCCTCTTGTCTAAGCAAAACAAAAAATTATGGATTTTTGTATTGAATACAGATAATTTCAATAAAATAATGAAATTCCGATTTGAAAAATCGAGTTTAGATGCTTAGAAAAGTACAATAGTTCATTGGAAAGTCAACTTTTACAATTATTAGAAAAAAACAATTATTTTTCCATGGAAATTCAAATTTTCTGCTAAAACACAGAACTTCCTTCCAATTGCGTAAACAACCAAATGGAATAGCGACTGAAAAAGGATGGTTTTGTATTCAATTCCCTCTTTTTGTGTGCAAAATAAAGACACATTTTGAATGAAAAAGGTCATGAAATGTTCAAGCGGTAAGTCATTTCGAGGTTAGATTAACATTTGACTTACATGTCAACCATGTTTCGATCCATTTGAATCCGGGTGCATACGGAACAAATCCAGCTCTCATCTTTTGTGGCATCGGTCTCGTTTTGTGTTTTGCACTTGGCGTGGAATGATCGAATACAACTGGAACACTTCAATGTGGTGCCCGCGGTATGGCAATGCCAGCAAAATGCGTCGTGTACTTTCTGGAATGACACGAGAAAGTGTCAATGCTTCAAGTAGAAGTTTTCGATCAAATATCGCCGACGGTGGTTAACAACTAAAGTCAAGCACTGAATATCAGTTGTTCTGGATTTTATAATGCCAAAAAAATAAAAACTATTCCATTTGTGGCAATTCATAATGAATGATAATTGGCATATTTGCTTTGTGAACAATTGTTGATCCTCGTCATTTCGATTCGGAACCAATTTTCGTACGAACGATGCGCACTTTGACATTTGTACCTTTTACCGATGCTTTAGAGTTTTGCACAATGCAACGAAATGTTTTTACAATCAACTCACCTCCGTCGAAGTCATCGCACTTTTTCGGTATTCACGTATTGCAAATCGATAAATCTCCTTGAAATTTACTATATGACTTGAACCAATCAGTTTTTAATCAACGAATTCTTTGCAGAAATTTCAACAATTATCCTTAAATTAGCTCTAGCCGCTGTGATACTTGAATTTACACTGATCAATTGGTTTGACGTTGCGAAATTGGCGCCGAGTTATGGGTATCAGACGTCAGACGCGTACTAATTTGACAATTCAAATCGTCAAATGCATTCGAATACGCTTTCAATGAATGACATTTGACAGAATGGATCAGCCACTCACTTGCTGTATTTGTTCGTATTCAATCCGTTTGTGATTGGTTTATTCATTGTATCGGAGAGATAAAATTGAAGAAATTGATAAATGCGCAATTTTTATGCGACAATTTATTTGTTGGGTTTTTATTCTGAATTTTGGAACAATTTGGTTCTTTCATTTGAAATGTCTAATGTTTTCCATATAAAAATGATATTTCCGTGCACTTGTTCATGCTTTGACATTTCTTATATAAAAATCTCGATCTAATTCTAATATTAAATTGAATTTTCAATTAAATTTCGATTGTTGATTGAGTTTTCGATGAAAAATTCTTTCGCTTAGCCTAAACAATCCGTTCTAAATGCAAAATATTTCTGATTTTCTCTCGCAACACCATTACAAATCGCCTTTCAGTTCAATCCACCTTCAATTCGATCCAACTTGAAGAAATAGCATTCCACGTCGGTGCTGTCACCGTTGTAATACACGCCATGTGTCCACTCGGTTTCGATAGCGTCTACAAAATCGGGCCAATGTGGCATGTCGATGAACGCTACTCGTACCTTTTGCAGCCGCTTGTTGATCATCAGCAATTGAATGATGTCATCCATTTTGAATGTGTCGCCGCAGAATTCCAACTCAACCAAATCCGGTAGTGAATTGACGACAGACATCAAGTCAGCAAATGTCAAATCGTCCCAATCATCAATGCACGGCACCAAATTGAGTTGTCGTACACCGTGGTTTTCTTTGATGAAGCTGATCAGCTGGCCTTTGAATTCGTTGAAACCGTCGAAATACAACTCTTTCAGATTGGTGAACTCAAATGGCATGTTCACAACGAATTCACCCCGTAGATGGGGTGCAATCAGTGCAAACGTCTCGACGCTTTCAAAACGAACCTTATCGTCGCCAAAGCACAAGAATCGATCGTCGGGCGCCCATAGCTCGAGCTCAATCAAACGTCGCAAAGATGCGCTGACCGACTGAAGAAAATCAGCATCGTAATCGCAGCACAGCACCAATGACTCAAGTTGTGGATTTGCTCGTAGCATACCGCTGATTGTTGCCAATGGGATTGTCATTTTTTCATTGTAAATCACCAAATTTCTGAGCTGTGGCAAATGTGCGACCAAATACTCGGGTTTCTCTGATGTCACATTGATCAATTTCAGGGTGGTTAGACTCGGAAACCACACGTACAACCGTGATAACCGTTTGCTCAATGAAGATTTTGTGATCGTCAGCTGCTCAACCTTTCCAAATGGCTCGTCGATTGTGTCCAAGTTACTTGTGTCGCACAATGCCAGCTCGAATTTGACCAGCGTGCCTGGGCAATGGTCAAGCAGCGATTGCTCAATAGCACGTTCACGTTGACCTTCGAAATTGATGAACAAACTCGACACCACCGCACCAAAATAACGGAAGAATGCTGCCGCTACGTCTTTTCGGACTTCGATGCAATCGTCGTCGATGAAACGAACGAGGTCCAGATTCAAGAAGACTTTCTTCATGCGATACCGACGTGCGAATACCATTCGAGCCGCTGGCACGAGATGTGAATGAGCTTCGGCCACATTGAATAAATCCTCCAAATCCAAACACTCAAAGACAATCTGTAGGCAATCATCGTTGATATCCAGCACTTGCAATTGTTTGGAGTCGATTTTTGGCTTCTTCGCTTCGAATACTTCTTTGATGGGTTCGTCATCTCGGACGCGTTTTTTAGCGTGAGACAACATCTTTGATGACAAATTTCCCATGGTCTGATGACAAAAATTGTAGAAAAATCAAAATAAAGAGTTTAGATAACATTTTTCAAGTTTGAATAAATGAACTGAATAGAGGAGTCAAGGTGGTGATGATTTTTGAATGCTTTTAAATCGAATCGAGCTTTGAGGAGACATTTAAATGATCAAGTGTCGGAAAGTGATGAAAAAGATACTTTTTAAATTGAATGTAGTTATATCGATTGAGGTCAATTGATGTAAAAACTAGAAAATTCGCGTGAAAATCCCTTTGGATGTTCTTTACTTACATAGCCATACACAGTGTGCATTGCTCGCTTAAGGGTACTTCAAGAAAAAAAAGAATTTTCCATTTAAAAAAATTACTTACTCGTACTGGACCGACGGTATCAACTCAAAATGAGTGCAATTTTTAATGAAGCAATAAAATGATTTTAATTTCAAATTGGAAGAACACTTGAATATCGTATGAACTTTGCAAATGGCAACTATTCAAAGTGACTGTTGCTTTTCAATACGAAGGATCTTGCTATTGCTTCTTCAAACAGAACCTCAATGATTCACTCAGTTCGACTGTGGATCAAAATAGCTGCCGAATTCATCTAAAATGTTGAAGTGATGAAGTCAGTTTTTGGCCGATGTCAACTTTTGGGCGACGTATGCATAATGCGATCGAATACGAATCTCTTGTCCTACACTAATACATCAACAAATGTATTTGTTTAGCACGTATGCTCTGTGTTGCTTAAATGGGTGCCTCTTATTCAACGATTTACATCTCCATTCCATGCAGCCGCTTCACAATCTGCTTATCAAAGCTAACATTTTGGTCATGATTGTTTATGTTTACGCAAAGAAGAGCAAGTAAACAGAGAGCCTTATTCAAACAATGTTTTGCTCAAATGCGAACAATAGAAAATGTGAAATCGGTTGTAAATCTCACTATTCTTAGGCCGAACGAAACATTTTTATGTACCGAATGATTAAAACGCTGACTTTGCCGAACTGATGCACACAGGCTGATTGTTGTCATCGTGTGAATATAAACAACAGCATGCTTTATTTTCAATAGAGTACAGCGACACAAATGAGGCATATTCAAGCGCTGTTTTCAACACTTGTTCATTTCACAGAATTTTGGTGTAGAAATTCGAGAATTTTTTACGGCAATCTATTGAGATTTAATTATTGAACAAGTCTTGATTTGATGTGAAACATTTGTAAATAGACAATGTGAGCCAATTCAATGAATGTACATTGTTAGTACATACTAACTTCATGGGTGAGATTGACACTCTCAATTTGAGAGTAGTGTATGTTTCACAGACATTGTATTGGAATTAGTAGAGCATCTTCTCAAGTGATGATCAAATCTCGAAATCATTTATTTATTTCAACAGATATACGATAATAGTCTTCGGCAAAGTTGTACAGTTTGACAAGACCAACAATTGTTGCGAAGACATCAATTCGATATTTCTTGTCATCAAAATGAAAATCGCAAAGAACCACCAATGATCCATCTCTACTTTATCAAAATATAAGTCGTCAAAAAACATACATTACTCTCAACCTCACCCATAGAATTTAGTCAATCAAGGATTTACACGAAAATTTGGAAAAGCACTAAAATTCAATGCAGTTTTAGTTTCATTAAAAGTTTATTATTCACACGTCTTACCAATAGATTGTGTAGATTTCTGAAGCACATCAGAATCGATTGGAAGGCTATTGCTGTTGCTGATGCTACTTCAAATGCTCTGCGAAGACTGATGTTATTTTGAAATGAACAAACCGAAAAAAAATATTTCCGTTAAGCTGCTCTTTCGAAACACAAACACAGAAATAATATGTTCATTCGAATGAACAGATCTGAGCTGAATCGAGCTAACATTTTGCTTGTTTTTTCTCTGTTCGGAGCTGTCACAGCCCTCAACACAAGCCAATCCATTGTATGATATTTGATATTGCTTGCACAATGCACATAACACATACACTTATTGTCATTTTGAGCGGAAATTCAAAAAATTATCTCCCAAATTCAGAGACTTGAAATTTGAAGCAAAACATTCAATGTATTAACTGATCTATCAATTTAAGACGCTTAAACCAGTAGCTAATTAGATTCCTTCTAAAATATGCACAAAAATTGTATAGAACGTGAGAATATTTTCTAATGAGATTGAAAGCAAATATATAGCGCCATCTGAGCAATTGTCATATTTTCTCACAACGAAAGGAAGAAAGCAAATGTCAGACAGCTACTGCCACTTGTTGCTGTCATAGAATCCAATTGAGAATTAGTAGTTGAATCAGAATAAAGTGAAATAAACATTCATTGAAACGGATTGAATCGTTGTAAGCCTCATTTAGTTTATTCCAACTATTCAAAAACACAAAACACCATTGATTTTCGAGTAGTTCAATCAAGACGAAATAACAATTGTTTTTACAGAACATTTGAGCAGAATCATAGTGAACGTGGATCTTAACTCAGTTCTATACAGCGATTGGCACTTTGAGGTATGTGAGTATGAAACATTATCATATTTGAAACCTTTTTTCTTTGTTTTCCAACTTCTTTTCCCCCCAAAGCCCAATACATTTCCAATGTGCCTCAAAAAAATTCGTAATCAACAAATATTTTGGTCTCATTTTAGATTTTCAATTGAAAACTACGTAACCATTCATTGAAACCAAAATGTCGATTCATTGAAACCAAAATGTCATCAAACAAAACACCGGCACCAATCGACTATAAGAATTTTGGTCTGCCGACCAGTGTTCGAAATCTGTATTTGAATGCCGACATTGCTGATGTGAACTTCATTATCAGATCTGCCGATGGATACCATTACCAAATGCCAGCCCACAAAGTTCTATTGGCCGCCAGAAGTGACGTCTTTAAAGCAATGTTCTACGGAACGGTGAAGGAGGAAGGTGATGTGAAGATTGTCGATGCCACGGTTGCTGCGTTCAAGGAATTCTTACAATTCTTCTACTTCGGTCGAGTGAGCCTTACAATGGAAAATATAGGCTATGTCATGAACCTGGTCAACAAGTACAACATGCCTGATGGCATGAATGTCTGTGTCTCGTTCTTAACAGACACACTTACCAACGAAAGCGCATGCACTGCTTACGGTCTAGCAATCCTACATGATCAAGATGATCTGAAGCAATTTGTTGAGCAAAAAATCGGTTGGAACACGAAAGCTGTCTTCGAATCAGCAAGTTTCTTGCAATGCAACCATGCAATTTTGAGTCACATTTTGAATATCGATGTACTCTCTTGTCCGGAAGTGGAGGTATTTAAGGCATGCATCGCCTGGGTAAAAGCAGCAAGTGGCCAACAAATCGTTACAAAAGAAATCGTTCAAACTCATCTTGGGAATTTGTTTTACGCGATTCGATTTGGATTGATGAAAATTCACGAATTTGCCGCATTGGTTCCAGAGTACGACAACTTGTTTTCAAAAGAAGAGTACAAAGAAATCATTCAAATGATTGGATGAAATGATTTTGAACCAAAAATGTTCACGGAAAATCCAAACTTGATCGAATGCAATCGAATCGTTGAAAATCGAACGATTGAATCAGGTCGCACATATCCAATTGATGAAAGAGAATGGGTGACATTTTGGTCAAATAAAAACTTGATGCTGCATGAGATTGTTTGCCAAAGCTTGAGCGGCTCGAAAAGTATTGAATTGGACATAACGGAATTTAATACCGGTACCAGTTTCTTTTTTATGGATACAATGAGCTCAAAAGAAAGTCCACACGGCACAATCATACGACTGCCAAGTCCAGTTTTGATTAAACCTGATTTTGTGTATGGAATTCACTTTAAACTGTCCCCAAATGCCGGACACTTAAAACCAATACCATTAAAATCTAAAGTGGTAGTGGAAGATGACATCAAGATACGATTTCTTGAAGACACCGTAAGATACCTAAGTGCTGATGCCGTAACAGGACTGATTGTGGCGCTTAGATTTAGTAAGATCCCTGAAAAAAACAACAACATAAAAACATACGATGTATAACAAAAACCCAGTTTGATTCAAGAAGAATAAAATAAAGTTGATTTTTTGTGTGTGTGTGTGACAAAATTCTGTTTATTGTTGTTTAATTTGAGTACAATTGAAATTATTCGTATGTCAAAACTTTTGATCTTGATGTAGTCATCAAATTGAAGCGGTAGTTCATCTGTCTCATTCTTATCATTCTTCTCCCAATTTTTCTTGAACAATTTCAGATAAAGAATTTATTTCAATGCAAAATCGTATGAATCCTTCAAATGACACAATCTCAACACTCAAGTCATTTCACTGTGTGATTTATTGACTAGGTTTTGACAATACACATAAAATATAAACTTATTGGCAATCGGGTGTCATTTTGAACGGGAATGCGCGACATGAATGAACAATAAAAAAATGTTATCCACTTTAAAAGCAAAAGATTCGATGCCTTTAATGTGAGACACTTGAATACAGCTAAATAGATTCCTTGAAAATTGTGTACAAAAATTAAATTAACGAATAGAACAAGAGAACTCTTTTGTATGAAATCAATCATTGAAAACGAGTATATAGCGCCATCTGGGCTATTGTTATATGTCCTCACAACAAAACGCAGAAAGCAAATGTCAAACAGATGTTGCAACTTGTTGCTATCGTGTAATCCAATTTGAGAATCAGTAATTGAAACAGGATAAAATCGAATAAAATCTCATTGAAGTGTATCAAGTCTTTGTAAGTACCATTTCAACAGTTCAGGAGCAGCAAAAACTGTCGATTTTTGGGAAGATAATTGAAATATCTATTGAACAAAGCCTTGAGTGAAGTCTTGCAGAACGTGGATCTAACCTCAATTCAATAGCGTAGAGAGTGAGAGTGTTCTTTTGTTTAGATTCAGAATTGAAGCAAATAAATGTTAGCATATTATTTGATTTTCTTTTTTTTAAACATTTTTCTTTCAAAAACCCAATAAATTTTTCTTCTCTCTCAAGAACAGAATTCCTCATCAACAATTTTTTGGTCTCATTTTAGATTTTCAATTGAAAACCACACAACCATTGACCCATCAATTCATTACCAAAACAAGATGTCATCGAATGAAACACCAATGCAAATCGACTACGAGAGTTTACCATTAATTTACTGTCTTTGAATCAGTCAGTTTCTTGGGGTGTAACCGTAACATTTTGAGCCACATTTTGAATATCGATGCATTTTCTTGTTTGGAGATAGAGGTGTTTAAGGCATGCATCGCCTGGGTAAAAGCAGCAAGTGGCCAACAAATCATTACAAAAGAAACCGTTCAAACTCATCTCGGGAATTTGTTTTACGAAATTCGCTTTGGATCGATGGAAATCATTCAAATGATTGGAACAAATAATTTTGAGTCGAGAATCTTCACAGAAAATCTGCGAATGACAAAGGAGAGCTTGATCGAATGCAATCGAATCGTCGAAAACCCGGCGATCGAATCACGCCGCATAGAAGAAATTGAAAACACAGTTTTTACGTCAAATGACACATTGATGCTGCACGAGATTGTTTGTCAAAGATTCGGTGTTCCGCGTGATGGCAGCTCGAAAAGTATTGAACTAATCATAGAGGAATTTGCAACAAACATAGACCATACTTGTAACCATACCATCATTTTGAGAGATACATTGGGCTTGGAAGAAAGTCCACGTGACACAGTCATACGACTGCCACGTCCAGTTTTGATTAAATCCGATTATGTGTATGAAATTAAGCTTAAACTGTCCCCAGATGCTGGCTACCTCAAACCGATTGCATTAGAATCTGCAGTGAAAATGGAACATGGCATCAACATTGAATTTGTTGAAGGCATCAAAAGATACCTGATCGGTCGTAGTTATGATACTCAAACAGGAGTGATTGTGGCGCTTAGATTCAGTAAGGTTCCTAGAAATTATAAAATATAAAAACATACGTATGTATAACAGTAACCCGGTTCGATTCAAGAAGAATTAAATAAACTTGATTTGTTTTTTCGTGACAAAAGTCTGTTTATTATTTAATTCGAGTATAATTGAAATTGATTACAATCAAATCCTTATTCGTATGTCAAAACTTTTGATCTTGATGTAGTCGTCAAATTGAAGCTGTGGTTTCATTCTTCTGACTCATTCTGGTCATTCTGCTCCCAAGTCTTCCTAAAAAAATCCAAGATAAAGTATTTATTTCAGTGGAAAATCGTATGAATCGTTACAATGACACAATCATTGGTAAGTATTCGAAAATTGAACATTCCTTTGCAGTGAGAATGTTCAAAAAAAGTTCAATATGAAAATCTCAATTTCTAACGAAATATTTTTAGTGAGAATTCCTCAAGAATTGACCTTTTGCATGCCATTGTGAAATCAACAAAATAACATTGAAAATCCTTCGCAATTTCTTACCACATTTGTTCGCATTGTTCATTGCAGAACATTTCCACCTTGAATATTTCACCACAGCACCACAGGTCGATACTTTGCCCTGTTCCATGAGCTGAGTACGATTCAGCTCGGCTTTGGCTTTAATACCAGCCACAATCTTTTGGTATTTGATTTCGAGCTCTTCTTCAATTTCATCCTTTGCTTCAATCGCCGCTTGCTTCTCGGCCACCTCTTCAGACAGTTTCTTCTTCAAACTGTCAATCTGAGCGGAAAACTGCTCTTTTTCTCTTTCCAAATCGATGACATGTTGCACACGGATTTGAGCGACAGCGTTGTCATATTCCGTTTCCAATTTAGCTTCGAGGTTTGTCTTCAATTCGAGCATAGCATTCTTTATTTCGGTCTTTTCCAAATTAGCCAAATCTCGCTCTAGCACCAATGCATCGCGTTGGATAGTCAATTCGGCAATCGTTGACCGGTAGCCGGCAATTTCTTTTCCATGACTTTCTGTGTTTGTCTTTACTTGGTTGCTAAATGCTTCACACGTCGACTTGGCGTCCTCGATCAGACTTTTTACATTTGCCTCGAGAGTCGAAAGCACAGTAGCCGGCAACATCTTTGGCTCGGGTTGGATGCGTTGGAATTGATAAGCAGAACGATTGCTGCTTGACATCATCGATGCACCTAATTGTATTGATGGATCACACATATTGATTGGACCGCGTACAATGCCCTGGTTCCATTGAACTTGTCTGGAGATTCGGTATCGCTTTTCTTCAATTTCACAAACTTCACCGACCTCTTGCTTTATATGTCCTGCCAACATTGGACCATCGTACATTTGACGCATCTGATGCATTTCACCGATATTCACATTGTATTGGCGTTGGCCATGGCCATGGTTGTAGCTTCGAATGAACTGAGCATGTGACAGCGGATTTTGGACTGGATCAAACTTTTTCTCTTCTTCTTCCTAGTTTAATTTTTGGATGGAAGGGTTGCAAGAATTTAATCAACTGACTCAATCAATGACTTGATCTTTGACTTGAAATGAAATTTCAAATCTTTTTTAAGCAAATCCAAGTAATTGAATTGACAAATCCAAGTAAAATTACATTGACATAAAAATGTCGAAGCTACAAAGTCGATACAGAGCTTGTTCAATGCAAATACTCAGTAATTTTGTTCAACTCAGTTGTTGTTTCAACTCAAAGTTTTTGTTGATTCGAAATATTCTTGTAATTTCAACACTTACAGATTTGATGTGCACTTTGGACGCATCGTTAGGTTCACGTTTGACTTCCATATTTTGACAAATAACCTTCGTTAAGAGAATGGAAAATTTCGAGACTCTTCGATGAAAACGTGCCACACGAAGTTGAGGTTAGACACATCACTTGTCAGAATGAATCTCATGTAAGCAACAAGCTTCGCATACAGCAAACGGGTCCGTTCAAAGACTTTGTTCAGAGAGTGTTATTTTGCTGCTGACAAAGCCTGAGCTGAGCTGAATCCACTGACTCAGGCGTCTGAAGCGTAATTTTAACGCATTCAAAGTGCAAAATTGTCGTCGTTTGCAATGATCTACGATGTTTCTCAATTTTACTAAAGGTGATATTTCCGCATAATGAAAGTTTCGCAGTGTGAATGCGTCAAAATAATGATACAGGTGCTTAAGTCAGGAAATTCAGCTTTAAAAAAATTCAAATGCAAACCAATTAAACCAGCATTGGCTCATAAGTCATGACGACATTACAATATCGATTCATGATTACTGAAATTAAAATTTTCATTTAAAAAAAACGTTTCCTAAAAAACCTACAAATCATTCAGCGTTCAAAGTGTTCTCAAATTGTTGATTACTTTATTAAATTGCAGCGTTTGTTTTCTATACAAAATTGGGGAAAAAAACATGAATTGTTATTACTATAGACATAATTTTCGGTTAGTTGAATGACAATTTACATAAAAATTTATGACTAACTTATTTGCTACTTTTTCAATGTAAACCGATTGATAAGAGCTGCTTCGCTCTTGATCATACTGAATTTTATAAATAAATGCTCGAAAGCACACACACACACACACACAAATTTCACTAATTTGCTTACAATTCTAGAAAAAATATTGTATTAAACGCCATTACTATTGCGTTGAATCCATCAATTCAATTTGAAAAGTGCTTGATGTTTCCAAAAAGAAGTTTTTCTTTTCCAAAAAAAATTATTTTTGGTAAATTATATCGCGGCCAGTGTCAAACTGTGACTATTTTTTTCGTGTCGTATCAAACTTTTGTTCTCAAAATTTCACTTACATTCTACTGAATTTGTATCAAAACTGTATAAATTGGACTATAAAAACTGATATGCATTTCACAGAATACTTTATCGTGTTTGGGGTTTCGTTTCTATTTTTTTCATTTTCAAAATGGAAATATCGTTGCGATTCCAAAACAAACTAACTTCCAAAAAATAATGCACAATTTCCAGGCTTATCCAAATGGTTTCAGTTTTTTTTCTTTCATTTAAAAAGGTAACACAATTCTAGGAATTTCAACTTACTTTGATCTCGGTGTGAGATTTGACATAACGATGGAAATGTTGACGATTTTGGAGGAGTCGATATGAAGTTGAATCGATTTAATACGCAAAAAGTTTCAGGTTTTTACAGTTTTCATTGGAAATAATTTGGAAAAAATCGAAATTATTCCCCAGAAATATCAATCATGTGGAACTTTACTCATTTGATTTTTTTTCGTTAATTTTTTTTTCTAATTTTCTTCATTTTCCTCGTTTTATTGCAATTCTTGATTTTTTTTTTTTCAAAGAACATCTAAACTGAGTCCACTGCGAACACCGTCTCTTTTACGCTAACAACAATTCGTACACGAACGAGTCAGTGTGACAGTTGGCGTGAGCGAGACAAAGTTTGACAGCAAACAATTTGATTATGTCGGTTTAAATGTTCTTTCGCAATTTTGACTCCAGTGTCAGAGTTTCATCTGAGTTGTTATTGTAATTTTGCTTCGATTTGGAATTAAAAAAAAAAATACTCAGACTTGAAAAGTTCCGCTCGGCTTTCACAAATTTTCTATTTAATTGAACAGAAAAATAAATTTGTGAAAAAACGGAAGAAAACATAGTGGAAAAATCTGAAATATGGATTGTGGAAAAAATTCCACTGAAAAACTGATTAAATTGTAAGGAATAAAAAAAAATTGCAAAAAAAAAATCTGCTTTAAAATCAATTCAACTTCATTCGATCCCTCTCAAAATTGCACATTTTCCGAACGAAAAAAAAAAAAATTCCAGTTCAATTAAATTCAATAATTTGTCCGAATATTGTTCGAGGGCCGATCGACTAATTTGACTATTTGCTGAGCTTAACCTAGTAGAATTTAATGCTGTTGAGAAATAGACTCGGGACAGAAGTGCTTAAGGACGGATCGTGCAAAATTGCAGGCGACAGAACTCATTGGAATTTATCAATTTGGAAAGTATTGTGGAATGAATCAAAAAGGGGATCATTTTTGTTGCTAATCGAAAATTACGATCGAAAACCCAATTTCTTATTCAAGTAAAAATTGATTGGAAATTAATACTGTTGTATCATTGTAATCATAGCCAGTTGAAAAGTGACGGAACAGAAACATTTTAAACAAAGCATATTCAAGGAATGGAATTATGCTCTAAATGGAAAACTTCACATGAAGTTTAATTAGAAACGGTTTAACGTGTGTTTGCAAATTTTCGGTACTTAGCAAAAGAAAACAAATAAACTGGAGGTTAAGCGAGCCCATTTGGCGCCTAATCCGTTTTGTATAATTTATAGAATAAATTAATGTGGTACAAATTAGTAGTTGGGCCGGTTCGGGGTTGAATGTTCTTTTTCTACATGTTCTTTGTTTTGCGATGTAGTGTGGCCTGTCGTTCGTGTTCGACTTTGAAATCCTCAACGGTGAGATTGAGCCGCATTATGTGGTGCATGAGAAAATCTTCGGTGAGGTACTTGGATGGTGGTGATCGTAGCACGGTAATGGTTTCGCACATTCCATTACATGATTTTCGCACTTTGGCCGATCCCAAACAAGCTCCGAGAATCACCAGCGCTACCTTGAATACAACTTTGATACCCTCGCACAGGAAACAATCCCATATACGCAGTAACGTATCCCATGGCAACGTCCGCGTCATTGCACATAAAAACCAATCCGTCATCTGGAAATAGAAATGGGATTTGTTTAGTTTACATGTATGTTTTCTCCTCTGTGTTGACTTGAATAGTTGAACACTTTTCAATGAACCGAGATTGAAAATGTCACATTTGTATTTTAGCATATTTACATATAAGAATGGTTCAACATTATGCTTCTCCAAATGACGATGGACAGAAGGCGATGTCTTTTTCAGCAAAGCATGCAACATATTCGCATCACGTCGAAGCATTTCCATTCCAGGCGTAAAATAGTCAGCCAAATACCTGCAAAAATGTAGAGAAAAATTTGAACAAATTGACAAATAATTAACAAAATTCATATTTTCGAGAATTTTTTTTCAATTTTTCGATCAATTTTTGATACTGACGTTTATTTTTGGACAGTTCTCGATGAGTTTTGGATTTGTACGGTTCGCTTTTTGAATTTTTTATAATATTTCCTCCTTCAAATTATGAATTATTTGATATTATGATTTATTTATACTAAATATTCAAAAGTTTTGAATTTGAGCACAAAGTTCAGGATTAAAGGAGAGAAAAGTAATAAAATTCAAAAACTAAACGGAAAAAATTCAAAACTCCTCGAAAATAAACGTTAAAATCCAAAATTGAACGAAAAATTGAAGAAAAGACTAACAAAAATTGAAGAAGAATTGAAAAATTGATAAAAAAAAACGAAAATAAATCGAAAACATGACAGGACTCATGAAGAAAAAAAACAAATTATAAAATTGAACGAAAACTGGACTGAATTCAAGAGAAAACCGCATTGAAAACAAACGGCATGGTCTAAATTGCCATAAAATCATTAAAAACGGGTTTTTCTGTATCTGACTAACAAAATAAAAATCCAGTGAAGAAAGTTTAGTTGAAAGCTAGCATAAAAGTGACCTAAATATACGATGTTATCTCACATCTCCACTTGCAATCATTCATAAAAAATGTCGGAATCGAGAAAAAGTATGATTGTTGCAACAACAACAAAAAAACAGAGAGAGAGGGGGAGATATAGAGAGCATAATCGAAAACATACTTATCACAAACGCTGACGAAGCACCAGAACGCTTGTTCAGCGGGCATGTGCATGAGAAGGAATGCGGCGATTGGTGCTTGTGCTTGACAGTAGCCGACTTTTGGATTGAGAACGGAATATGCTTTAAGAACATTGAACAGTTCTTTTTGTCCGTGTTTCTCTTCATCCACAAACATTTCGTGGTTGGGAAATGTTCGATGTTGATCTTTCTTGATGTCATCCATAATGTGTTCGTTCCCAGGCTCTTTCAGCAGTTGTTCATATAAATGAGGATTTTTCTCATGTAGCAAATAGGCGCCGGATAGATAAAACCAAGCCCTTGGCCGTACTGACTGTGGAATCCCTTTGCGACATCTTTCTCGGACTTTTTTATAATTTTTTGCCATGTACTCTTTCCAATTCTGGAACATGTGTAGCCATTTCTTTTCGCGTGCAACAATTTGTGCGGGCGATAAAACCTCTTTGGGTTTATCATTAAATTGGAATCCGCCATAAAATCCATGCCGATCTGGGCAGCTCGATATTGCACTCACCGATGAGCATAATGAAATGTTATCTACGGTACGTATCTGTGTATTGACTGTTTCGGTGGATTTTGTTTCTGTGGTTGCCGTCGCCATCGTTCTGTAGCTGAAAATAATAAAAAGATAAACGAAGAAAAAAAATTAGTTCCAAAGTAAGATGAAATGTTTACAATTGCATTGATTTATGCTGACACAGCGAGCGATCGCCCATTAATGAAAATGTAAACAAACAAACATTCACTCGATTTTTGGATGACAGTCGATTAAGCACAAAATCACGCACACCAATCGGACATACAGGCCATAACGTGCGATTACACGTTCAATAGACAGCGCACCAGAGCGAGAGAGAGAGAGAGAGAGAGAGAGAGATAGCGAGCGATCGATCGATCGATTAAATTGGAATGTAACCCGTATTCAAGCCAAGAAAAAAAGCGGAACTTCTTTACACTCCACACACAATTTTATGAGCACAAACGGCAAATGGCATTGATAATAATAAAGAAAACTGAAGGCCCAAAAAATACTGCTGCCGTCTTGCATACACACATTCCCTTCTTTCTCTGTCTCTCGCTCACATTTTTATGGATACATGGAAATAAATAGAACACGAACAATAACAACAATAGCAACAAAAATTTTATACGGTGAATTGCTAGTGGGTGGATAGAGCGCGCCCATTCAATCAAATTTATTGTTTTATGCTGCGGCTGCGGTCGTTATTTCTTTTTCGTTTTTCGTGTACATTCATCCAACATTCCAGTGAGTGCGCGAGCGAACGCTATATTTGCCACGGTTTTCTCGGCTCATTCTCTTAAATCTTATCAAAAACTAAGCACTAAAATACACGACAATATAATACGTAACGCAATTTCAATGCGAGAAACGAGCAAGAAGCAAAGAAAAAAATAAATTTCTTTCGCTTTGAGTCGACCGATTTAAGAATTGAGTCCGATTGCGCACAGTTCTAAAACCAAAACTCGATGCAAATTTCGATGTCGATGTTATACGATGTATGTGCTGTGATGATGATGTGCAATTGAAATTGCGCAAATCGACTAATTGAATCGGATGATGTGTGTTTGTCTATGGTCTGTGTATGTATGTACGGTCGTTTGGTTCGGTGCTGAATATCAATTAGATGATCATTTTGCAAACGAACCAACTATATATATGGGCCTGAAAACCGAAACGAAAAAAAACTACTCACTCTAAATTTGGACGTCAAATCAGTCGCGGCAAATATATTTCCATAGATGATCGATGTAATTGGCGACCGAATCCTAAGTCGTAACCGATTCGGTGTTCACAAACGGCTACTTTTCTGTTCTGCTGTTTTGTGCGATTTTTCAGTTGTTGTTTTTCGCTGTTGCTGCCGTCGTCGTCTGAACTGGTTTCGCAGTACTAACACGCACAACTGCTGCGATGCGATTTAATTGAAAATATGCGATGATGACGTCAAAATTGACCCAATCAATAAAATGATTTTGTTTTTTTTTTGTTTTTTACTCTGTATATTTCATAAATTGCAACCAATCGAAGGGAACACCAAATTACTCCAACAACTATTCACATACAACACATAAATAATAAATCATATGCACACTCGACAAATCCAATAGCAATTCCAATTGCAAAATTTCCTTCTACTCATGAAAATGAAGATAACAATTTTTTTTATCAGCGGGTTTTCTCTCACTCGACACTCATTTTTATTCATCAATGTGAATGATGATTAAAGCCTCACAATTCGGTTCATTTTTCGTTCCAACTTGATATTTTTTTTCTTATCTTCGCCTCTTTTCAATAAATAAACAGTACTATTTTGATGGCCCACGACTTATTCACTTTGCACTCATATTTCTCTTTCAGTGACTTTGGGACAGATACGCGCACACACAGCGTAATTACTACTGATGTTATTAGATCTATAGACGATGGTATCAAATTATACACTCTGGCTGTGGAAGTGTTTGTGTGTGTGTGTGTGTTTCTCTATACACTCGGTTACTCTTATAGAGTAACTACTCTCATACTCTATCCCCTACACTCTATACACGCTATTTGCATTCACCAGTAAGTGCCTGCTTATTTGTTTGTGTAGCAGTGTAGCATTGGGTATAAAAGTGTTGGTGATGTCCATTTGTATGTGTGTGTTGGTGATATTTTTACTACGCGCGAACGCAAAGACTGACTTTCAATTCATTTGACAGTTTTGACAAGCGAGGCGCTTCGAACGCATTTTCCATGTGGCCTAACTACGTGACAGAACCGAGTTTTTGTTTTGCTTCGCATTTTTTCTCTCTATTGTAAATATTACGAACAGGTGCATTGAAACACATTGAAATGACTTTGATTCGGTTTATTTGAATTGGCTTTTCGAAACGTATTTTTTTCTTGTTTTATGGCTGTGTTTCGATCCAATGCAATTTTAAATCGTTTTGAACATTTTTTGGCAGTTTGGCTGTTCTTTTCTATGAATCAAGACGTTTTATTGAAATAAATTTATTTGATTGAAACAATGGCTAATAAATTCATTGAATAAATGGGTTTTCGAATGAATGTTGACGATTACTATCGGTATATTTGAAGTAAATTTGCCGTTTTGGAATAAATTAAATGATTTTTTCAAGAAAGGATTGATCTTTTATAAAGTAAAAATACGAAAAATCGTATTTTTTATGTGAAATAAACAAAAATGACAATTTTCCCAATGGAAAATGATCAAAAATGTATAATTTTCAAGAGAATTTGTTCAAAACTCTGACAATTCATGCGAAAAGTGTGTAATAAATGGAAAATATGAACAGAAACACCGTTACTTCTGGTTTCTTTAAAGAGTTTGCTTTGAAAAATGATGAAAAACGGTAAAATACTTCACTTTATTCCTATTTTGCAGGAAAAAAATTACTGAAATTCCTTTCTTGTTGCATAGAAACTGATTGAAATTGATATTTTTTAGAATATTTTGACCAATTTTTACATTCGCAGGTGAAAAAATGACATAAACTTACATTTTTAGAGGAGAAAAAGAGACGAATGTTCATATTTGTAGTAAAAAAATAAGAAAAAACACGGACGTGTTTCATAGAAAATTAAAAGTATTTATCGAAAATTGAACGAAAATTCTGGATTCCAAAGAATCAAAAAAATCCGTTCAACCTTCACCTAAATCAAAACCAATTCACAAAAATTGCGTTGCCAAAAGCTGTGTGCGCAGAGTGAATTTGCTGACATTTGCAAAATTATCTTTCCATAACCATCTCAATCGAACGGTGTTTTTGATACAAAGTACAAACTTTGTATTGAATTGCGATTCGATTGAATCGAAGTGTTTTGAATGTTTTGTTGACATTTTGACTGAGTGCACTGTCGCACCCATACACACATGCATCGTATGTCTCTCATCGCAGACAGCTGTGGTGTGTATAGGAAACTCTTTTACGTAATTTCATTGAATGAAATGGTTGGACATGGTGTTGAAAGTTGAAAAACTGCCAGTAAGTCTATGAGTGTATAGGCAATTCGGTTTTGTGAGTGGGACTGTGCAAATGCAAAACATTCAAACAAACAACGCCGACCGACGAAGTAAAAAAAAAAATGTGCTAATAGTCGGGAAAAATGGACTAGTTTTTTGCCTCTCTCCGTTGTGCCGTTTATAAAAAACCGTTGACACTGCAAAAGGAAATTGGTAATTGGTTACAAAATGTTGTAGTGGAAAAATGTGTGTTTGATCGTTGAATCGAGTTAAAGAGAGTGAAAAAAATTTATAGGCGGTGGTGCAGTTTGCATAATAACATCGATTGCAATCGTTTGGAACCATTCAGGAAGAAGTTTTTTTTAGGCATGTCACATTATTATTGGAAAAAAAACCTTCAAATTGTGATTAAAAGTAGCAATTTCATCGAGATATCCCGTATCACAGAGGACTCCGAGTATATATATCTCTTGTGTTGTCTATTTTTATTGTTCAAACAGATAGAGTACACTGACATATCGTAGGCTACGCTCTGTGTTGAATGGGTCGTCTCATACGGAGCGTAGCGCAACACCAATACAAACACAGTCAATTGCCTTGTATGTTGTTTGCAGTGTAGTTTTCGAGTACGCAAACACCAACACCAACGACATCTACACATACACGAGACACACACACACACAGAGAGAGAGTCGACAGTAGAAGAAAAAGAAGAAGAAAAAGTAGAAAGAAAAACCCAAACTGTACTGTATATGTTATGTGAGTTGAGGGAAAAAAAATAGTGAGCATAAACCCGTATGCGAGCGAATCGACTGAATTAGTGCGAAATATGGCGCTCGTCGAAAATATGAAATCGATGAGAAGTGGCTGTGTGTACAAGAGCACTTGAAATATAACTCAAACCCAACATAACAAATGCACCACAAACACAATACTCGCTGCTCGCGTCCACAGAAACAAACGAAAAATTGAAACGAACCGAATTTTGTTTTCTCATTGGATGGCCATTTTTCGACAAATATAAACAAGAGAAAAAAAATTAAATAAAAGAAAAATAAAGTGCATATAGTTTTGACTTGAAAATCGACTTCAATGGAGTGACAAAACGGAAGACCTAGACCAAAAAGTTTCGAGAGAAGTGAAAAAAAATAGCAAGTTGTATGTGAACTTTTCTTCCAGAGTGTATAACCAGTCAACGAAAAAAAAAATCGATGTCAGTGAATTAAAGCAAAAAAAAAAAAATCCACAGCAGCCCAACTAGATTTGCAGTGTTCAAAAAAAATCATTCATGCATCATCAGCCGAAATAAGGAGAAAAAAAAAATATTGAAAGAAAAAAAAATTGAAGCACGAAATTCCATCAAACATTGAGTGAGTGAGTGAAACAGAAAGAAAGCCAATTTTTGTTTCTTCTCTTCTTGTTGTTGATTAAATACATTCATAGAGAACCACAGAGAGCAGCTAAACAATGGATGAAAATAAGAAACGAAAACGTTGTATTTGAAAATAGAGAAGAAGAAGAAAAAAAAGAGCAGCAGCAGCAGCAGCAGCAGCAGCAGCAACAGTAATAGCAATAAGAAAACAACACGAAACAAAAAAAAAATCCGTACGTAGTGGGCTAAAGTAAAACTAATGTGGTTCTGGTTGGCTGACACACGGCTTCTTGTGTACCAAGTGTATTGTTAGTAAAGTGTGTGGAATTGTGTGTTGTTCGAGTCTTCTCTTCTGTTGTGTTTTTTTTTCTCCTTCGTCGCCCTGTTGTTGTGTAGTTGATTTTTTTTTTGGCTTTCTCATTTCGAGAGCGAATAATATAAACTAAGCTGATTCGTACTTCTTGCCATCTACATCGGTGTTGTTCATATTGTTGTTGTTGTTGTTGTGCTGTGTATTTTCGTCGGTGAGTACTTTAATTTAGGTTCCATAACAGAACCAAACATAAAAATCATCTGATGCTTGCTATTGCTCTGAATTGCCAACTGTGTGTGTACCGTTGCTTAGTTGTCGAGTTTTATTTTTCTGTTTCTCTGTTTCGTACGTTGTGATGGATTCTCATGGCCCCGAAATTGAAAAAAAAAATCCAGTCGAAACGAGAAAAAAAAATTACAAGACACTGACTGTGAGATTTATTTATGCTCAATGTTGCAGCATGGATTTAAGTTGCTGTGCGTTTTATCTGTCGCACTGCCCCATACTCTATCTATCTCCCAATCGCTGCGTGTGTATGTGATTGTGCGAAAATTAATTCCGATTCATTTCGAACAGCGAAAGGGAATTTAATGCTCATTGAAAGTGTAATAAGTTGTACGCGTGCTGTGCATTGATTGCACGTTTGCACTCCCCATTTAATTACATTAAAATACGCATCGAATATATGTGAACAACAAAGACGAACACACACCGGACAGCGTCACGCTTAACCGATAGAACGAGATGGGGAGTCCCGTACAGTTTGTTTTTTTTCGCTTTTCGCCCGTCAATTTATTATTCAGTCGGTCGATTGAGCGAGTGAACGTTGTCTTGCGACTCAAACAAAATCGACAAAATGCGATTTGTCTCTCTGTTGTTCATTTGCGCTTGTACTGGTGCACGCAAAAAAAAAGAGAACAGTCGCCGAGCAGGAAACACACGATTTAATCGATTGGCCAGAGGGTAGGGACAATTTTTACTTATTGACACGAAACGAGTACGAATCAATTAGACTTTACTTGACTTGAGCTTTTCACATCACCACCGATGTCGCCGTCTCTGCTGCTGCCGTTGTCATCGTACTGCCACTGTTGTTGACGCCGTCGTCGCCTCCGTCGTCGTCGTTGTCACTTTCGATGTTACTGCCGTGGTTGCCGTTGTTGTTGCTGGCCGTGCAAAAGACTCGACTTGTGTCTTTTTCTCATTTATTATTTACGGCCATGTTTCCATAAAGAACCGCCATAATTCGCCATGCAAAAAAAAAATCGACGAAAAAACGGCAACAACCAAAAATTAATTGAATTTTTCGCAATCACGAATTGAAGCAGGGAAGACTTTTTGTTTTGAATACAAAGTTTTTTTTTCTATATAAGCCAAAATTGTTCATTTTAACGTCAAAGTTGCGTTTAAAGTTGCGTGTAGCATGGAGAGTTTTTCAAGTTGTTTTGGCAGTGAAACGAAGCAGCGTACCTTCAGTGAAGAAACAAAAAATACACACAACACAAATTATTAATCATCGTGTAATCACAAAAGTATTGAACGTTAATTTTTGTTTCTTTTATGAAAAACGCCACCAGCAAAGGTAACGCAACAACAACAACAACAACAGTGATGAGAATCGTTCATTTGTTATTGAAGTGAAAAGCCGTTTATTATTTAATTTTAGTTTTATGGAATATTGATACGATGGAGATAAGAGGTTATCTTTTGTTTAGAAATACACCCATGAATAATATCAAGTTTAACATTGTTTGCTTCCCAATGATAGCAATCATTTTGGATGTTTTCAATGTTTCGTATTGGTGCGTGTTGAAGAATTTAAGTTAAGGCCTGGTAGGCCAAGATCAACTGATTTTCAATATGATTCAAAGGGTCGATTTTCAATATGATTCAAAGTTGAATCAAAGGCTCATAGAGAGTCTCTAATAGAGACTGCAATGGAATAGTCGACAAAACAATTCGAATAACCGAAAAACAATTGAAATTATTCGGCGTTTCAAATGTTCTACTTTTTGGACTGTTTCGAATCTTTTTTTTTGTTTGTTACAAAAACATTTATCATTTTTCTGTTTGTTAAATTACATTCAAATATTTTCGACTCTGTCTCTGTCTCTGTCGCAAATCCTCAATTCATAACAACGAAAAATTGCAATCGTGTCAATAAAGACAAATGGTGTTAATCTGATTCGTGTTCGACAACAACAACAACAAAAAAGGTCGTCGAATCAAATCTCTTTCACTCAAAATTTATGCAGTCATGCGTGCAAAAAGAAAGATTTTTTGTTCACTTCGTCGCTTTAAACACCAAAATCGGTTTTTCTCTCTTTGCAAATCTTTCTTATCTCCGCTAAAGAAAAAAACGTAAATCTTCAACTTCAAAGAGAGAACACTCTTTGTGTATGTAAAAAGTTTGCATTGAAAACAGAAAATAAAATCAAAAAAGAAACGAAACCGCAAAGCGAAAAAAAAATCAAAGAGGGCCAGAGGAGAAGGGAAGAAAAAAAATTATCGTCGACGATAAAAAAAAGTGTTCCGTTGAAAAATATGGATGTTATAAAACCGCATAAAACCTAAAAACTCAATTGCGTGAGGTTTGCGATCTTCGGAAAAAAAAAACAGAGAAAAAAGACACACAACTCGACTCAACATACAGTTAATGGTCAACGGAATCGATTGCAACTGAATCCATAAATATATTGTTTTCACCAATTACAACACTTATGCTGTAAGCCAACTGACACACTATGTTTTTGTGCGCCGCATCATATTCAATGGCTTTCTTCGAAGCCCTACGCATTACAGTTCCGTTTCGGTGTTTTTTTCACTCCAAACCAAATAAATCAATTTCCATGCGACAACTTTATCGGTCAACGACTTTGCCTCATTTTTAGGTGGTGTCTTTTTGTGGATATTCATTTGTGAGCTCATTCAAATTCTTTCATTTTCGAGCTCAGTCAAAAACGAAATGCTTCAGAATCGGGGCACATTCAAGTCTGAGCTCATTCAGAATCGGAGTTCATCAAAAGTTGTAACTTAAATAACATGATTGTTAGAACATACATGTTCTATGTATACATAGAAAAAGACGAACTACTTATCGACAGCGATAGAGTTTCAAACAACAAAAGTCTTCAAAAACTGATGACTTTATGAAACTTCTCACCGATTCGGTTGAAATAGTCAAGCGTTTTGACTCAAAGCACAGGAGAATAGTTTTTAAAACTAAATATTAGCAGCGGTTTTCTATAGAAGATAGCTTCATTAGCGCAAAACACCATTTGAATTGTGCAATTTCTTAGCAACAAAAATTTCCTAAATCCATTGATTCAGAACAGAACGGGTGATTTTTATTACCATTCAGGCCATTGTTTATCCATTCAATAAGCTAAAGGTGTGATAAATATGTGTGTTCAATGTGGCTTTGATTGAGTGTGAATAAGAATGGTTTGGTGTTTGGAGTCATTTGGGCCTTTTGTTTCATAGCAGTGAAACACGAGCGTTAAATGGTAAAAGAGCGATAAATGGTCGAAGAGAAGAAAAAAAAACATGTGTTATTGATCAATATAATTCAATCAATGGGAATAAAAGCGAGAAAAGGGCAATAACTCACATACACTCTCACCCAATCACAATTGCAATTGTGAATTGCAAAGAGAAAATGGCCATTAAAATCAAATCTGTTCAAAATTATATGAAACTAATGGAAATGTTATTGCAAATCAAATCGATTTCCATTCTCTTAGAAAACAAAAATCTATTTCGGTGCCTAGAAAATTGCTCATTGGCAATAAATGCACACTGGCTAATTGCAAGTCAATATTTTTTTTGTTGTTGTTGCTGTCGTTACTGCTAATTGCCTCATTGGCAATTTTTCAAAGTCAGAGCAATAGTGGCTATTGTTTGTTTATATATAAAACATGTTTTTTGTGTTTATTTAGTCTTGGTGGCGTGTCGATAAGATAACAGGTTCAGTCTCTCTTTTTTTTTATCTCGCTGTCACATTTGATTCAAAATTTCGTGTTGAATTCATTATCAGCGTCAATAGTTGGATTGTTTGTTTATAATTAAATCGATGTTGTTGTTGTTTCTTTCAGCCGGGTGAGGCAGCAGGGCCGCTGGCGCAGAGTTTGAATCACAGGCGTATAGTGTAAACGTAATAAAAGCTGATATCAAAACGAGGAATAGAAATAGAAGACGAGAATATCAACAAAGTGGAGTAAATCAGAAAGCAACGAGGAGTAAATCGGGAGAACCCTGGGAGAAAATCTGGGAGTAAAAGAGAAAGAAAATCGAAAGCAAGTGAAGAATCGAAGCAGAAGAAGAGAACGAAATAGAAAGAAAAGGAGAGACAGAGACGGAACAAGAGAGAGTTATCAAAAGAGAGCCAGCCAGACCGAACGAGAGAATCGAATTCAAGTGACGTGATATTGGCGTAAGGTGCGTGACGACGAAATGTCGCACGGTGCTGGTGCCGCTGGTACAACGACCGAATTTCGTGAATATCAGTGGGCTTATAGCGTAATGGATTCATCGCGTGTATCCACCTGTCTGATTTCGATGCTACTCATTGTCTACGGCAGTTTTCGGAGCCTGAACATGGAGCAGGAGCAACGTGAACGGGAAAAGAAACGACAAAATGACAGCATGAACAATTTATTAACCGGTGAACCAGTGCAACAAGAACAAAGTAATTACCAACCTTTTGCTAATTTAATTTTTTTTTTCTCTTGAATTCATTCACTACGGGTTGGGACTGATCAAATATAATCCCACCCGTATATGTTTTAATCACATATTTTCAAGATTCTCGTATGTTTTTTTCTGCAGATAAATTCGCCACATTAGACACGATGCATGCTCTATGTCTTCCACTTGGTGCGTCTGTATCGCTGCTGGTGATGTTTTTCTTCTTCGATTCGATGCAGATGCTATTTGCTGTGTGCACTGCAATTATAGCAACAGTAGCATTAGCATTTTTACTACTTCCCATGTGTCAGTACATCATACGGCCTTGCTCCGATGGCAATCGAATATCATTTGGATTTTGTGGCCGATTCACAGCTGCCGAACTCTTTAGTTTTTCATTGGCTGTATCGATAGTGTGCATTTGGGTGCTCACCGGACATTGGCTCCTTATGGACGGTATGTGATATCAATTGCATTGATAATCCAACGTTTTTTCCTAATCCCGGATTGAAATCGATCATATTTGATCTCATCACAATCTTTCATCATTTAATTCATTAATTCAGATTTTTTCTCTCTTTCCCTCTCTCTCTAATCGTCTTTAGCCATGGGAATGGGCTTATGTGTTGCATTCATTGCATTCGTTCGTTTACCAAGTCTCAAAGTGTCCACACTACTTCTAACCGGATTGCTGTTGTATGACGTATTTTGGGTGTTCTTCTCATCGTATATATTCAGCACAAATGTGATGGTGAAGGTGGCCACACGGCCCGCCGAAAATCCAGTCGGTTTAGTGGCACGTAAGCTTAATTTAGGCGCTTATGTCAAGGATACACCGAAATTGAATTTACCTGGAAAACTGGTGTTTCCAAGCATACACAACAGTGGACACTTTTCGATGCTGGGCTTGGGTGATATTGTAATGCCTGGTTTGCTATTGTGCTTCGTACTGCGATATGATGCATACAAAAAATCACAAGGCACATTGGCCGATGCTGGTGTACCGGTGCCGAAGGGAGTTGGCTCCAAGCTGACCTATTTTCATTGTTCACTATTAGGGTGAGTTGGATTATATGACGTGGTTGGTGTAGAAACTGAGCGGTTTTTTTTTAAATAAAACATCAAACGAGCTGAATGCATGCAATCAAACGATTCTTTTTAAAAGTTTTGAATGTAGGACGCAACTCGCCACTGAAAACTGTAGACTCTACGTATTAAAATCGTAGTGTTAGTCTACTCAGTTGCGGTGTTCTTTTCTTAGCTCGATTTTTTTTCTCTCTTTCTCTCTCTCTCTCTCTCTCTTTGGCTCATTATCCGCTTTCGTCTCTAATTAGAGAATTTTGTAATTTTCTCACATTTTTTCATACTTTTTTCAATCTAAAACTCTCGATAGTACCAAAATTATACACAATTTCAATACAATAAAACCAATTCCACTCAAAATCGTTTGAAAAAAATAAAAAAACTTAAAAAAATATTAATTCCGATTTGAAATAATAGAAACTAAACTAATCGAATTCTTTTCCACTTTTCCACAGATATTTTCTTGGCTTGCTAACGGCCACTGTTAGTTCGGAAGTATTTAAAGCCGCTCAACCAGCATTATTGTATTTGGTGCCGTTCACACTATTACCTTTGTTAACAATGGCTTATTTGAAGGTGAGCATTAATGTCTGAAATGCAAAGTTTCTTTTACCCATCTTCTATGGAGCGTTCAATTCTCGAACAATTTTATTTTTTAAAGAATAAAAAAAAATGATCATAAAAAAAAAGTTCGATTCATTGAAGGCACAGTAGAAAATGGGCTGAAACAATTTATTTGCAATACTTTTTCCTCTTTTAAAAATCAACTCACTCGAATCCGACATATTTTTTTTTTCCTTTCCAGGGGGATTTACGGCGAATGTGGAGCGAACCATTTATCATTCAACATGCGTCGAAACAGTTAGAAGTCTGAATATTTTTTAAGAGGATAAAATTGTTTAGCAAATGAGCCGATGGAGTGAAGTGGAAGTGATTTATTAAACAAAAACAAACAAAAAAAACAATTGAGTAAACGCGAGAGGAGAGAACATAATTGTATATTATAGCTCCAAAATGCACGTCTCTAGGCTAAAACGTAATCTTAAATTATATGTTATATGGTCACAATCATCAGCAATACACCCAAGCACACAAGGTCACAAGGTCACAAACTCACCAACCACACTCACACTCACACACACACACCACACAATCAAACGTCGACGAAAGAACAACACTTAATTCACAAATGTCATCAGCAAATTAACATACATTCAGCATAAAATGTATCCAATCAGACATTCATTGCGTCGTACATTTCATGTAATCAATTTCACGCGAGCGCGCAGTTCAATTTTCGCCTAATGTACGGATTCCATTCGCGATTTTTTTTTCGTTTCTTATCAAGAAACTCCATGACATTTTTAACCACATCGCATATAGAACATAGTTTGTTTTATTGTTGCTGATGTGATCCAACATCGCTTCTTTTAACACAAACGCATTTTATTCTGCGCAAACTAGAGATTATCAATTGAATACTGGAGTTTTGACAAACTCTGTAGCATGTTTTTCATTTCGTTGTCTTCGGAAAATCGATACAAAATCAAATGGGCCGATGTGCAATTGACAATTTTCCTTACCATTGGAAATCAATGTTCTTTGCTAATGGAAATAAAGTTTCCTTGCTAAAGAAACATCATTGAGGTAACGAGAGACCATATGAAAAAAAATCAAAAGTATCTCTTTCCAGCCTGGCCCAGATGACTTGGCGGAAAGTCGAGGAATATCTAACGCGCGACCCATTTAAAGTTTTCACATTTTAATCATGAAATTATCCGGTTTTTGTTAAGGAAAACGCTACACAAGTGCAATTTTTTGACCGAAAAAGATGGAAAAAAGCGAGCAATTGGAAGGGCAATTGAAGTGTTGAATGACTGATGTCAATGGTTGACTGCAATTAATCGTGATTGTCAAAAGAAGGAACAACAAAAATCTTTTGGAACGAAGAATTTTCGGAACAAAGAACTTTTAGAACGGAGAAATTTCAAACACAGTGCAACAAATTGTAATTTGTACATTTCCAAACGAAAACAGTGTTGAAAATTGAAAAATGTGAATAATTTTGGAAAAATTGTATCAATTTCAAGAAAAATGCCAAAAAAGAACAAATTTGTAAAATTTCCTCGAAAATTCAAGATTAACAACAATTAAAAATGCTCCATGCTTGAAAAAATGTAACAAAATTCGAAGCAAGAAAAGGAAAATGTGAAAATCGTTTGAAATGTTGAACATTTGTGAAAATCTGTGAATATTCTGAAATTGAATGGAAATTTGAAAATTTGAAAGAAAAATGTAAAATTTTTGCAAATGTTTCATGAATTTGAAAAAGATGGGAATGTCCACAAATGCATTGAGCCACTCTCCACTAGAATAATGCGAGAGATTCGCGAGTATATATATCAAAAAAATTCATTTTTTTGAAATGAATAAAATTGAAATAATTTGGAAAATTGACACTAGATCCAAAAGAAATTCAAAAGCCAGTGACGATCAAATTCGATTCTTTCTTTCTCATTCGACACTTCTTTCCCTCGAACGCCGGAAATCGCTGTTCAGCTAAAAAGTCCAGCTATTTCGTGTGACAAAAAATCGAAATGACAATGCCGCGCGGCAGATTATGAAACTGAAACGTTTTAGCACTCAAGCAGAAGAAATAGTAAAAAAAAACAAGCCGAAAACGCCGAACAATATTTTTCATTCTTCACAGTAAAAGAACGAACAAACTTAAATGATAAAGAAAAAAAAAACAACTAATTAGCTTAATGTGTATTAAATTAAACGTTTTATAGTGATAATGCTAATATATATTTTTACTGGATCACACGCTCGCTATCCATCTGCTAACCCGTTTCTTTAATCATTTTCCATAGTTTCCTTGATATTTTATTTTGTTTTGATTTTGAAAAGAAAAAAATGAATCCTATTTAGTGTTTTTTTTTATATATTTCTCGTGTGGAAAAAAAATATTTATATATCTGTTGACCATGTTTTTTTTGTTCCTCGTCCAATTTATTTCCTCTTTTTTTTTTCCAAGAAAGCTGTTCTTTTTGGTCCTTTCTAATTTAGTACACACACATCCTCTCTCTATTTAACGAACGATAATTTTTAAGAACAAATTGAAACCAGACAAAAATCAGATTTAATTTCATTTATTTAGTTGAAAAGAGAGAAGAATTATGGCATGAAATCACAATTTGCATATTCAACAGTTGAAAGATTGGGCATTCTGGTTGGAATTAAATTAATTCGATGGATTGAAATCATAATGACGATAGATATTGAGATTCGAAACAATTTTTTAAAGATCCTTGAACATTGTACGAATGTTGCTTCAAATTGATTTGAATTCAATGAGAGGAAAATTGAATACTTTTTCTGCGATAGCTAATCCAATTCCATAGAAAAATTAACGAAAAATGCACTATCACAACTCAATATTTCATCGCATTCAGATCAATCGAAAGCCATTCCTTTGTTGTTGTTTTTTTTTTCAATCGTTAAATCCAACTCAATTATTTGTATTCATTTTTAGAGAAAGAAAAACACACACAAATTCATCAAATTTTTATGAAGTCAATAAGACCGATCGATGACTGCTTGAATGTACTTTTATTATGAAAATTCGAATATTTGAACAAAAAAGAGAACGAATATTTTCTAGGTTAAATTTACTTCAATTATTTTCTAAAGAAAAAAAAAACGGAACCGACAAAAAAAGCATTAAATTTTAAATTTATGCAATAAATGTATTGACAAAGAATGACAAATTGTGAGAAAAATTAAAACAACAAGCAAATAAAGCGACAATGGAAGAAAAATATAACAATAATGGTTGAGCGTTTAAAATTTCGAAGATTTTTTTTTAGGGGTGTTTTTTTATATCAATTCCATTGACCACGGGTGAGGTATTTTTTTTTTTTTACTTTTTTGAAGAAAATTATCTGAAATTGTTTTTATGCAAAAAATTGTTTTAAATCTGACTGCTAACGATTGATAATTGCATCCATCCATACATCGATGCATGTCCGTGTGCAAAAATAGTGACTAACAGTCACTTAATTGTATGTAGCTGCATACAACTAAAACTGGCTAAGTTAATTGAATTCAAAAATGCTGTATAGAAACAATCACTTTTAGGTACTCTTTCAGCCAGTCGTCGAATTTCGGACATTTTGGCTTCTAGATGTCTATAACTGAAGTTGACTACAGTCGAATATTTTGTTCGAGATAGTCAATTTTAGTCAGTAATAGTCAGCCAAAAAATCCAAAATCAAGCGGCTGGCTTCTCAGACACAAATTTTCCACATGGGATGCTTAAAAACGTAATCTCAGCTTATCTTCATTCTGTGTGCAGTGCACATTGTGCACCAGTATGATTCCATCTGGTTTGCCAAAAATTCTTATATTCTTATTAGCCCTTGTGGCACGTGCCCGTTTTCATGGAAAAACTTGAATCATCTTTTGAATATTCACCTTTGCTTCTAGAGAAGGATGTACTTTATAGTGCTATTGGTCAAAAAGAGAAGCTCCTAGAGCATTACTGCAATGAAAATAATAAATATTTTCAAAATGATTTTTGTCCATTTAATAATTTGCAAGAATTAATGCTCCATGCTGATTTATGATCCATCAGTAGAGTGATGTATTTATTAGCGAGATGATGAACATGAAAAAACAAATCCTCCTTTCAAGGATGACCAAAGGCCATAAAGATACATACATAAACTGATTCTGTCTTATTAGTGTCTATACATTGTAAGTAGATTGTTTAATACAACTTAATTCAACAACATTATCATTATTCACTCTAATATAGTTCGTTTATATTTTCCATCTAGAATCAAAAAATTGTGATAATGAGTGTCGGTTAAAATGGGCATGGGGTTGTATGGGAATCTAAGATGATCATAAGGATCTTCCCTCTCGGAGATCTCTTCATAAATGTGATCTTCGTGGGATGTGGACGCTGTTGTTATTTCAGGAGGCATTTCAGCCATTTCTATTCCGTTTTCTCCGTTTGGTGTGTGTACTATTCTGGGTGCAGCATATTCATTTGACGTAGCCTTTCTACAGCATTGTCTCCAAAAAACGAAAACTATGGTCGCAGTCAATATAATCAACACGATTGGAACGATAATCGTGATGAGAATTTTGATGTTCGTATTAGTCATACTAATCGGCACGATAGTACTTTGATTTGTAAGACTACAATTTATTCCATGTTTTTGTCGCCACGGATCATCATCACCATATTCCAAACTGGGCCATTTAAGTTTCAATTGTAGCAATAGTACTCTCAGATATTCACACGAAAAGCGATTCAGTGAAATTGATAATTTGGTGAGGCTTGAAGTACGAGCATTAATCAAGGTGTCCAATTCAGTCAAATCGTTGCCATGCAAATAAAGTGCTGTCATTCTGGGTAGCGATGTAAAGTTTGCACGCTTTAAATTGTTGTTAGATATATTCAGATGTGTCAGGCGGCGTTGCTGTTGAAGTATACTAAAGTCGAAGTTTGATAAGCCCATCTCACTCAAATCCAATTCCTGCAAATTTGTCACCGTCTTAAATGTGCTTGAATCAACTTCTCCCAATAAATTTCCATGTAGGTCGAGCCGATGAAGGGACATATCCAAGTATTTAATTACATCTGAAGCATTCGTAATATTACAGTTGGCAACATGGAAACCGAATAAATTTTGCAAAGTTGACGATAGCATAGAGAAGTTGATGCTTTGTAAATTGTTGTCCGAAATGTAAAGATATTGAAGATTTTTTATTGGTTCAAATGGATTCGATTGGATAAATGATAAATTGGTGTTTTTCAAAAATAGAATATTCAATGAAGTCATCTTTTCAAAGGTTTTCCTATTTATTTCACCCACATTATTTCCGGATAATCTCAGGTCTACAATTGATGGTCCCAATAGATTCATCATATCAGAAGCATTGTTGATTTGGCAAAATTCAGCGGAAAAGATGTTCAACGATGTCAACGTCGGTGATAGCAAGGCAAAATTAACATTTTGTAGGTTGGTGTTGTGGTCAATTTCAAGTTCTGTCAATTTCTTAAGTGGTTCAAATGGGTTTTGATTCTCGACGAACGGAAGACTTACATTATTCAAATATAAATTTTGTAAATTGGTCAATTTTGCAAACGAAGAGGTATTTATCGGTCCTATGTAACTGTGTGATAGAGACAGAATCTGAACTGATGGTTTTAAATACTGGATTATCTCTAACGTATTTTCCAATTGATTTTCGTTGATGCGAACATGTTGTATGTTGTCAATTGCCTGCAAATATGACATATTTCTCATCACTTTTAGGCCATTGTTCCGGATTTCGAGCGTGTCCAACAGGTTCATACGTTTCAATATGCTCAAATCCAATTCAAATAGCTCTGCATTTTGTATACCAAAATAAGTTAAATTGACGAATCGATGGAATAAATTGGAGTCCATCTTTTCCATAATGGGACCGTATATACTTAATTCGGTGAGCTCTTCAGTCAAACAATTTATGATTTCGGCAGGATTTTCAAAGTTTTCGCGTCTAATCTCAATTTTCTGGAATTGTTTAACACTTTGTTCATTGCAATGTAATTCGATTGTTCCATCCGATGCGTGTAAGTAGCCTTCGTCTCGACTCCTTGAAACGACACGAATTTGATGATCGCTGCACTCTTCGTTTAAATCGATGATATTCATCCAGGAAAAATATACCGAAACTCCACGCTTCACCAACGATAGAATATCACAATCGAACTTTGAAATTGGATTGGCCTCCAGTCGTAGTGTTTCCAAGGCGCGATTACCATCAAACATATTGAAATCAATAGATACAATTGAATTGTGGCTCAAGTCTAAAAATCGCAATTTTATGAGATCTTGGAAGACCGCCCCATCCAATGATGATATGTTATTGTGTGACATATGGACGCGTTCGCATTTTACGGATAAAAAATTCGTCACACTTGTTAAACTGTTGTAGGAAAAGTCTATTTCAGATAGATTCGACATTTTCAAATGAAATTCAAACGGATAATGCAACAATTGATTGTGGGTTGCATTCAATTTCACCAAATGTTTATGTTGTAGTATGAAATAATCGATGCCCGAATATGAAATGTCCAACGAATCTAGATTTGGATAGTCTTGAATCAATTCATTTATTTCGTCTATCAAATATCCACCAACTTTCAAATGTTTCACTTTTAATTTGTCCGTTATATTTGTGATCGAAAATGATGCGGAACAATAGACGGGCAGGGCTGGTTTGAAACTCGCCGAGTACAATGCAATCGATTCCATTTGTTTATCCGAATAACCACATTTGAAGTCATTTGATCCACAGAGTATTATGAAAAACACAAGCAAAAATATTGAATACTTAATTTTTGAGACTTAATTTTGCCTTTAAGGAATGGAACGTATTGGTACGGTAATAGGACTTGGGATATAAAATATTTTTTTCCATTATTTGAACCTCTTATACTTTTCAACTTCCTGTTTTGAACAAAATTCTACATACGAGTGACCCACTCGGAGTGGGTGGAATGCGTTTGCAGATGTACATTCATTCATTTATTTTCCATATTTATTTTTTGAATTGAGTGTTTTCTCAAAAAAAGGCTTAATCAACAGATTCGATAAGATTCAACATAAGATTTGTTTTCGAAAAAAATTCAACTGCATGCCATTTTTGCAAGTGATTTTTGATACACACTTACTTATCTGTTCCACATAGACTTCCGTTCAAGCCCTGGGAACCGACAAAATGTTGTATTTTTTTTAAATTCTGAACCTCGTTAGCATATACTGTATACTATAGAACAGGAATGAACTCCCACGAATTCGATTAAAACCGACAAAAATTATCAACACTTTTGACTCCTGTACGTTTGAACGAATCAATGTTTTTTCCAAAGAAATTTTAAATGTGAATAATAATTCGATGAAGCTAAAATTACACAGAAAATTTGATATAACGCTAGAGTTGCGTGGGCTGATTTCCCGCTTACTCAGAATTCTGACGGAATTCGGTTTGAAAGAATTGTTCCGAAATGATTACCATTAATCCCAGTTCAAATTATTTATAAGACGCAAAATAATGCATGTTTTTTTCACGATTTCTATTTTTAAAAAGAAAAGTAGTGCTGTGGTGAAAGTGTTTTCTTTTGATTCGGTCCGCGACAAAAGAGACTATGTTTACATGCGTATGTATGGTTGTTGCGATTTTCAACGGTTTTTTCGTGGAACTGATAAGAGATAACGAATTGGTGCCTCTAGCACAGATGTACTCGATGTCTTCTATATCAGTTTATTCACAATTTGATTTAGATAAATTGCTTTCAGTTCAATTTGAAGCCATTCTTCTGTTTTTTGTGGTTGAAAATACGATTTCCAAGCAACAGTGCACTATCACAGACAATGGTTAAAAAAGATTTTTAATTTGTGAAATGCTAAAGAGAGATTGAAGTTTATTTGAAAATATACCTTTGAATTACTTACCAAGATCTCAATAGACTTTCAAGAGATTAACGTCCCAAATTCGTAGGGAGATTTGAGACAGTTTTGCTGCAGAATCAATTTGTTGAAACCTTGTATGAAGGAAATATTGAACAAAAATACATCTTGCTTCCGTCTTACATTTTTTTTTAGTTTTTATTTTGCTCGATTTTGCATGTTTTACATAAATGAATAATTCAAGTAGTGGGTGGATTTTAGAATGTAAATTGGAGAACAGTCCGAAGACTGTGATAAAGAAAAATCTTAAAACAAATTCTTATTTCTTAAGCATATTTTAAGCAGCGTACTGCGATCAGATCGATAAAAATATCTTAAATATTTTATCTCATTTTAAAATAATTTTGGTTATTAATGGAATAAGAAAAAATTTTGTTTAGATTTTTTCGATTTTACTTCTAGTGGAGGTGAGTATTTCTATACGATTTCCAAAAATTATGCGGGCGAATGATATTGTGCGATTCTTTGCGTTTGATTTCAATCAGGTCGGTTGATGTTTCTGCTTTCGCCCATTTTTTAGCCAAATAAACATCTTCGTCGACGTAAATTGTCACTTTGCGCGCTCCCAACAGCTTCTTGCGTGCATTGTTCAAGGCAGAAATGTCGAGAACTTCTCCCACGAATTCGCGAATTTCTACGTATTTCAAATTGACTGAACCACGAATGAACGGTAAGAGTTTGTCGAAATACGCCCAGCCGATGAACAGTCGCTCCATATTCAAATGGCCAGCGGAAGCAGTTGTGTTGGCGCCATCGATATAATAGATGCCAATTTCTCTTATGTTGACCAGAGGTGGCAATGTCATAATTTCAACGCGGGGTAAAAATAGTGCAACTAGCCCTTGCAGTGCTAGCAATCGATCAGGTGATGGCACTTTGCATAATTCCAAATGCAATCTTCTATAGAAATCTCGTCGATGAAGATCGGTCAAAAGACCAAGGATATCAACCTCGGAACTAATATTGAACCAATGAATGGCCAAATCATCCAATTTAACGTTGGAATTGAGAATCGAGTCACGGTTATCCCAAAGAAATTCCCCATCAATTTGAAGGCTTTTTACACTTGGGCTGTTCTCCAGAAAATTCGTCAATTGGACGTTACCAAACGTGATATCCCCATCCAATGACAAGTGTTGAAGTGTCGGGTGCTTTTGAATTGGCCAAGTTAACGGAGAATTGAACTCAAATTCGAGTCGTTTCAAGTTTATGCAAGATCCGATGAGTGCTCCAAGAATACTTTCATCAAGATTGTAACACCGTATTTTCAGGTCTTCCACTTTGCTCAATAAATTCATCGAATTCATTTTCAATTGACGTAAATCAACGTCGATAAATCTAACTAGCTTGATTGACTCGAAATTTGATCCAACGGATGAAGGTATTGAGGAGAATTGAATTTTCTGCGCAAATTCGATGAACCCATCGACACGGTAGGATCCGATTGTAGCAACATTTTCTCTCCAATCAAAAAGAACAGCCTCGTATTTCCATTGGAAATACTTACCGGCGACTCGTTGGAATGCCTTGCACGTTTGGCCAAACGAATGCACGTCTTTCAGCGACAAACAGTCAAACACTTCGTCCCAGCAATCGATGTCCAATTTGAAAACCTCTGGTTGTGGTGCGCCATTTGGTGCGATTGCGCCGGCCACAGCCACTTGATTTTGGTTTGGTTCGACGACTTCCATTTGGTTTTCATCATTGGCGTTTTGTTGGCTCATTGTTTTGATTTGATTTCAATCGCAATGTGAGTGTTCGAGTGTGGAATGAAACGCGATGTTCTGCCTGGTTCTAGAAAAAAAAGATCAAAAAGAGTAACTAAAGATCCTCTTCATGAACATGCAATTGACTGACATAAATTGTCCAATTTCCATTGGTAGAAATTGTCTAAATGCTTTCATCACATTTCGTAAAATATTTTTGTACTAAATTATTGCAAATTCCGCGGAAAAGCTCGTTTTTCAGACGAGTACGATCTTCTACTGTTTTTACAAATACCGAAAAAAAATCAT